CTGAACAGACTAATCGGATTGCATCATCCTGTCCGTTAGTCTCTTGGATTGCACGCATCTAGTAATATCGAGAACTCATGATACAGAACAACTGATACTCAGTGTTTGGTATTGTCCGTTGATCTCACGCGCACACATACTATCTACACTTCAATTTGCGAAAGCCTCATTTGAAAATACTGTCTCCTCTTGATGATATTCCTGGTGTTCCCGAGCGCTATTTTATCTTCTATTCTTTCGTATTATCAAATGAAAAATCTGAATTCTCTACTGCATCAGAAAGAATCTGTTTATTTCCCGTCATAAGATGCAACCGTATATGGAGACTCAACGAAATCCCAACTAGCGGGATCCACACGAGAAATAACCGGGTCCTCATATCTGTGAATTTTGCATGTAGTCTACCTGATAATTTCTCGTTCATTTTTTGTACTCATACGCTCTAGGTGATGATCGTCTACCCTGAAGAGTAGTGGTTCGAGTCCCGATAGGAATGTAAACATGATACACACTGCTATTTGATGGCCTTTATACCAATCCATCATATAAGGGGACTCAAAAACAACTCCCAAAAGAGATTAAACTGTCGCCAGAACAAAAAGACAAACCCAGGCGTATCTACCGTCACATAAACCGCACAAAAGTGTTTTTATTTCCAGGTGGTAACGAATTTCACTGGTGATCTGTTTCATGCAATACCTTATGTAGACCTTTTTTATTTTACTTTTGGCTATACACTCTTCAGGTCCATCACCTGTCCGGTTTGATTCGTCGAGGTCAGGCAGTGCATTTCACGGATCTGCAACTTCGTCATCGTCAGATTCATTCCAGTACATCAGTAGTCGACCCGGAAACTGGCCTAAAATCTGCTCCCATTCTGACACTTCACTACACCGTGGCCAGTAATGTGACGGCGGACAAGACGACGAAACCGGTCTGGCGTTCGACGCGTTTGTCCGAGTCCAAACCGCAAGTTGCTCATGTAAAAAAGCTTCTCGAATTATATGGGTCGTTTCTTTCTTTTCTCGGCATTCTTTCCTATTCTCACTCACCGTGAATTAATCACCGGTTATGATGGTCGGATCACGTTGGGTAGCCATGCGCTCTCATGCTCCAGCTTGAGTCATTGTGTTTGAAGTAGTCACCTGATCAGTCAATGCCTAATAGATAGGTGGTACAGAATGAAACAAAGTCATGCCAGAACAAACAGGCAACGGTCTACGAAGAGTCCCTCAGACCGTGGAACTCGGAGTAATTGAAGATCCGAATTTATTCCAGTCGCAATAGTCGTTCGAGTTTCTCTGATATTTTTCTACTTGAAGTGCGTAGGATGTGTACGTGCGTGATACCACCTAATCACTCATTGGCTCACAGACTTCAGAATACGCTGCTGCTGTTCTCAAACCGTTGTTAGTTTTGACAATGAACTCGCTTCGATGAGCACTGCTAGGTATAATCTCTATATTCGTCCCTACCGGAACCACTGTTTGTCTATGATTTCAGGTGTCACTGTTTTACCTGGTTAAGTCTCTCACTTCCACATACCATGTTCGGTGAACCCTTCTGTTAGCGACACATCACTTGAAATTAGAAATGATATGAAATTTCCTCTGGTGGACTGATGGTTGTAACGTAGTTTTTTTTACTTTCACTGGAGTGCTGTCTAGAACGTCCGGGTTTTTTTTCAATCCGAACACTACCACATAATTTTGATGGCAGGCAACTTTCCCGTCACCGAACTTGAAACTACACCCCTTGTATTTTTTTTACCGCTCTAAGTCTCGCAGCCTGGATTGCCAACTATCTCGTGGGTCATTCCTTCCATGCCTCATTACACATTGTTATGGAGTATAAAAGAAGTGTTGTTTGTTGATTGGGCGAACTACTCCATTTTCTCTGTTGCGTTCGTTGCGGAGTTCGGTCACGCTATTTGTTTTCATCAATCGTCCTTTTTCATTCTCCCTCTTCCGCAGAATCGACTTGATTCTCACCTGGATCAACTAGCGCGGCTGGCTGAATCTCACTGGTCCTCTAATTCTCCATCGTTCACTCCGTACTCGGTACCTACTCGACGCCTCCCCGCCTACACCCGTACTCCGGCAAAATCTGGTTTGGCCTCCCTACTCAACACAGGGACTCCTCAGGACACCACTCCCATTTCTCGGTCCAGGGAAAGACCGCAGTTGCAAACACCCACTCGTCAACCACAGTCCTTGAAACAGTGTCTTGAATGGCACTCACGCACCATATACCCAAAAGCAAGTATTGTTAGTCCATTACTTGTTCACACAAAAGGCTATGGTTTCTGTGAAGAGATAATTTACAGTTATTTCCACAATGCATAATTCAATTTGAATGAATCTTCCTTCTGCCGTATACTCATCTGATCAGCGTTTTGAACAGCGCCATATATATATATATATATATAATCAGAACATGGGTATTGGGATACAGCAGTGTAAAAACGGGGTCAGACAGTTAAGTTGAATAACAAGAAGAACAATTTCCTTGTTTGTTTCACCGTACACTTTCTGATATATTTTTGTGTTTATGTATTTTTACGGCGCACGGGATTTCAACAGACAGACCGTACAGCATTCGCGCCACTGACTTCTATTCGGGACCATATCTTTTGGCGTCTCTAACCAACGACAGTCCTCATCTCTTTGTCTCCAACCTGGAAGGCGGGCTGCACCAATCGAACTCAAAGCTGAAACCAGCTTCTTCATACCTCTACACTATATCATGGTCTGACCGCCGCGCCGCTTCTTCCGGCCTTGCCTAGCCCGTGCAAAGAGCACGGAAAAGTAGTCGATGAGCAGGCATACGCAGTACGTGACCAAACCATCGGATGCGGTGTAGAGTAATTACTTCCGTTAGAGAACGACTATCCGCACCCATCGCACGACGACGAACCTCGTCATTGCTCATCCGAGGTTCCCACCACTCACGAACAATGCTTCGGAGACATCGGTGGTCAAATACAGTAAATCGATTAGGCTCTTCCGCTCCGAGTGGACAGGTCTCGCAACCGTAAAGTAGACCGCTACGAACCGCGGTGATGTGCACCTTTCCCTTAGGGGACAGTCGGATGTCATGGCGGCGCCACATATGTCGTAGTTTCACTCTGTTGGTCCTTAGACGGATTCATTCTGCCGTATTTCTGACATACAACTGTGGCCATGCTACCCAGTTCTGTTTAAATTAGTCACGGTGGGTAAAAACCCAAAACGTAGTGTTTTCATGGTGACGCTTCAATCCTCCTCACTGTCTCCCTTTTAAGATTACGAGAGCGTAGGGGATCTCTGTTTGAGAATGTTGCTCTATAGGCGCTAATATTATCAAGCTAGTGAACTGGAAATTGTTCGCCCTCTCACGGGCTGTCACATTTAGATTTCCCACTGATCGTCTAGAAGTAGCTGAGTTTCTCCTAACTTTTCTGTGTTCTGAGGCGTTTTGAGGTACGTGTTCAGAATCCTAGCTGTCTGACCCATCGTTTCGGCCATCAACGCCATTTTTCTGAACTACCGGTTTTAAGCATTCATGAGGGCTTGTGTGGCTAGTTCTCTAGTAATGTCGCATACTTTCTGCACAGTTGTCGTAGCGCATATTAATTTACACCCACTTTTCCCCTGCTTCCAGACGCCCGTTACTCATCAAGCACTTGCACCCATACAGACCCCCGTCACGTCTACTACTAGCCTTCCGGACGAAGCTTCAATGAAGGTAGGTACTCACTCCTGACACCTATATGATTTAATAAAACAGACTGCGTTTACAGATCTTGGTTATTCCATGTGAATTTCACAAACACTTGGGTCTCGCTCGTTGAGACTTCCGTATCCCCCACGTGATCAATGCATTTTATTTGTTTCTTTTTTTCGAGCATATTCAGCTTCTTTCTACTAGAGGATTATCCAGTTTTATCAACGTCTTCATCTTAGCTTTGCGGTTTTTATTTGCTTTACTAAACATCTTATCAATCCACTCAACCGAATGCAAAACATTTCTCCATCTGCCGCAACTTCAACCGTTAGCTGATTAAAACTTACCAGTGGACTACATCAAGAAGTCACTGTGGCAACCAGACTCGTTTTTGATGCATCGTTTATTAGCCAAATACAGCACTCTTTAATAGGTCAGGCTGTGAATTTACCAAGACCAGCCACAAATAAAAGAGTACCATGGCACCGGTTATCAAGTGAGTGTCAATTCGTTTATGTATTTGATTCATTCGACAGTACAAATGACATTTGCAGAATGATTTGAACTCTCATGTACCCCTTACTATATTTTCCATCTACACGCCTACAAATACAGACACCATTTTCTTTTTCCTTATATGACTTTGTGACCTATAAAAGAGTACTGTATTTGGCTAATAATTGATGCACCAAAAACAAACTTGTTTGCCAAATTAACTTATTGTGAACTCACCGTTAGGGAACTTCTTTTCCTCAATGACCGTCCGAAATGTGGGCTTGCGTTTTCTGAATTGCAACTAAACTAGTTGATCATGTGCAAGCTGCTCCAAAAATCATGGTTCTTGGTCTTTTATATTCTTCCAGGCCTATGAAGTGGAACTTTGCGGAATCTGGAAACCTCTATTGTATCGCATATTGTCTACGCTCGACAGTTTAGCATTGCCTAGTTGGTGTTCTGTAACGCCTCTGACAAATCCTGGCATTCTCCATTCGCTACCATAAGTTCTCATTCTTATGAAGTCATCGCACCAGATAAGTTGCCACAGCGAGCAGTGTTTGCCGAGGCTGGTAATGGGTGGAAAAAAGCCAACGGTGGGCAAGCTAAGACCTGGCACGAGGGCTTGAAAACCCTAACCATGAGACTGGCCCGCATAGGTTCCGTTAGGCTCCCTGGCTGGGGATCTCGAAATGATCTTGACCGATGATTAGAGACACTGATATGGCTGCGTGTCGTAAACAGTGGCGTTTATGCATCTTCTTAATTTCATCACAACATTAGTCCGCTGAACTTCTCGATTTTCTATTCGATTCAACTTTCTTGTCCTTCTCCTACTGTTCATACAAATGGATAATCAAAACCGGCGCACGAAATTGCGTGGTTAATGGTTGCACGCCTGGCAAACAACAGCAAGAAAGCCACCGACAACGGATACTCATGTCAGCGATTGCTGCAAATCGGCCATGGAAGCGGAACTCTCCGATCGTCTATCAGCTCATCACCAGTCGAAGGACTCGATGAACACTGGAAGCAAATCAAGGAAGCTATGCAAATATCGATAGAAACAACGTCCGCCCCTGACGCAAGCTCAAGACACAAACGATGGATCTCGTCGATCTCGGCTGCCCTGCTGGACACCCACAAAACCCTTCCTCCTGTTGCCACACATGACACAGAGCGTTAATCCCTCAAACGCCAGCTCATCAAGACTCTGAGGAATGACCGCTAGAAGTGGTGGATAGAAACGTAAAGGAATGGAGAAGGCTGCGGTCATTGGTAATAGTCGGAATGTTTTCCGTCTAATTAGGAATACGGATCCTAGGAAAATAAGTGTAAGTGAGGTAATTAAGGAATCCGATGGCACACCAATTCACCCACCAAACTCTGGAGAACCGGCATTCCTTTTGTAGACCCACCATCTATGTCTTCATGGATTCGAAAGCGGCTTTCGACTCAGTCGACCGCTCTAAACTCCGGCGTTGCCTTTCTATGAAAAGTGTGCCCGAGAAGTTGATTTCAATATTACAATCCTTTTATACTAATAACCGAAGTCGAGTCCGAGCTTACGGCACTCTTTCTCCCGAGTTCACCACGGAAAGTGGTGTTCGACAGGGTTGCTCTCTGTCTCCTTTTCTATTTAAGTTTGTTATATGTCTGATTATGGAAACAGCCGTATCTTCGTGCGAGGATAGCGGTATCGACTTACTCCCAGGTGGAAGGCTGTCTTATATAGAATATGCAGACGCATTGTGCTACCAAGTTACAAGCCTTTCTGGATAGTTTTTTGAGTGCTAGTGTTGCCATGTTCGGTATGCGTTTTGCACCTTCAAAGTGTAAAATGTTACAACAAGACTGGGTTGATCCAGCACCCAGTCTCACCCTAACTGGGGAAGTAATGGAGCGAGTGAATAAGTTTTGTTACTTGGGCAGCTACATCTCACCCGGTCTACGCATCACGAATACAGAAGGCTCGGTTGGCATTTGCGAACTTGAGACATCTGTGGTGCCGTCGTGACATCCGGCTGTCTGTGAAGGGTAGAGTGTATATTGCGGCAGTTCTGCTATACAGTGCAGAAACTTAGCCATTGAGAAAAGAGGATTAAGATAGACTGTCGGTGTTTGAACACTGCTGTCTACGCAGCATTGCATGAATCTGGTGCGGCAGCCGGACGAGCAATGCTGAGGTTAGGGGCAGAGTTTTTGGTAACTGCGGTCGCCCACTGGAGCAGGTGGTTGATCTCCACAGAATACGTTGGTTGGGGCATTTGTTACGCATATCACCAAATAGGTTGCCACGGCGAGCGATGTTCGCTGAGGTGTAAGTAGTGGGTGAAAGAAACTCAAGGGTGGTCAAGCTGAGAACTGGCACGAAGGATTGAAAACCCTAACCAGGAGTCTGTATCACATAGGTGCTCTTAGGCTCTCGGGATGATTATACCCGATAGCTAGAGACACAGTGATATGGCTGGGTGTCGTAAACAGTAGCGTTCATGCATCTTACCAATTTCTCTGCAAAATTAGTGCAATGAAATCCCTAATTTTCTCTGCCATCCTAATTTCAACCTTTCGTGACTTTCTCATGTTCATCCGAATGGGCATCCAAAACCGGCGAACAATAGTGCATGGTTAATAATTTTTGAAACTGAGCTCTGCCTCTAGGAAAATAAACATTCTCGTTCGAACTGAACTGAACATCGCACGTCGTAATTGCAGAAACATTCGGACAGTTGCGGTCATCCCAAAAATTTTGTATGTTATCGATTATCTCTCACTTTTATGAAGTTATCACAAATATAACAGAGGCTTTCGCTGAATTTTGGGAGCATCGTTTTGTGAAATAGCTTGCCTGAAACTGAACTTGTTGCATAGACTCTATATTGAAACCACAGTTAACTCAAATATCCATGAAACTCTCGCCTAGCCTTTCGCTTGTATGAAGTAAATGTTCGTAAACTTTATAGTTGACGATATCGCTTGAAAACATTCTCTGCTCCTTGAAACAATGTAGCATCCCCCCCCCCGACACACACGGCCATGCCTGATGGCATTGTGCGAAATGGAGTACGCTTGTTTGATGCCTTTGCAGAGCCAGTCTTATTCTCCTCCCGAAGACCAGGTTTATAATGCGCTCATCTTCTAACTACACAATTACCCGCTTTGAATGCAAGTTTCTGTCGAATGCGTCACCAGGAATCGGATTCTGGTAACCTTCCGATCGTAACCGTCGTCGGGTCGGACAAATTTTAAGAATTCATACTCTTTGTCATTTGGCAAACAAGCATCTTGCTAGTGTGCTTTGATCACGTGAAGAAGAAAACCCCTGAAAAACTCGTCAGTCTTACTCAAAAGATAAATAAACTACAGATCAATCCTGACCAGTGTAATCGATTCCAATTAGTCTAGATATCACCGTCAACGACAGTCAAATATTAGCTCACCGGACGGCCAACAGAGGTGAGAATTGGCTATCTCCTAATTTCCAACCCCGAGTGTCCGACTCAGTTAGCTCTTCTCCGTAATTATTTTCACCCCTCTTCGTTCCACTTCAGCAAGTCATACTACACTGGGGAAGCAACAGATTGGTGTTTCACTCTTACTGTAGTCATCAGTGGTTCGAATTCACCGACCTAGATTGGGTTTCAAACCCCTAACATGAACAGTTTCCTTGTGCATATGCCTGAATGGACTGTTCGTCAAGTCTTGAGGAGTACCAGGCAAAAGCAATAACAATTGATCCCACACTACTCCTCGCCAGTAATCGAGAATTTTACAAATACGAAATGCTCGATCTTCATGTTCTCGCATTTTGACTGAGGCGTGAGCTGTTTCTGATTTCTATGTCTAAACACATTGAATAATAAATGCATGTTCAACCTGATTCCCTGACTAGGCTGTTTTCTATTTTAATGCTTCCTCTTATCGTAAGGTAAGTTTAAGAGAAAGATCACATTTTCCCCAATCTGCCAAACAACAACTTGAACAAATAACCTTACCTTAAATATTTATTCGATAGACTCCGGTGAATTCTAAGGAAATCATGTCAGAGCAATCAGCTTACATGCTAACTGGTGGACTTCATATGCCTCTGTAAGTTGGATGGGTAATTCAATTGCAAAAAGAGCAGTTCTATCGATGTGGCCTCGTAGCTCAGCTGGTAGAGCGTGCGCTATACAAAAGCGTAGGCGGCGTCCGTGTGTGGGTTCGAGTCCCATCGAGTATACTGAACTTTTCACAATGTCGACAAAAACTTCAATCTGCCAAACAACAATTTGAACAAACTAAATATTTGTTTTCTATTAATTTTCGAACTTGTCTTCCGAAATTGTTACTAGTCAGGTTATCGGTAATCCAGTAAGAACATTTGCGATGACAACATCAATTACCAATACAATTTCTTTATTTGTTTTTCGCTTCCGATTTCATCCAGTCAAAAGCCGCACCACTGATTAAACGCGCAGTGCGCTCTACTCCTCGCACAGGCCTGTCTCGTCACAGTCGACCTCGTACCGTGACTGTTCTCCCCACCACCACGCTACCGCCTGTGTCGGGGACCGTTGAGACGTCTTCTCATTCATCGTCCGTGTCAACTGATTGTGCTCTACGGCCTTCGATTTCTGAACCCACAAACCCTAATCCGCTCGCGTTCGAAGAGGATCAGTTCTGCACGACACCACAACCAAAAGCGAAACGTCGACGGACTTCGCCTGCCCCATTACCGGACGGATATCAGATCGCTACCCCGAACAAGATGGACATTCGTGAATCGGACAGTATCCCTTCGCTATCGAAATCTATTCTGGAAGATACTCCAGATGTTAGTTTCTCGATTTTCATTTGTTAAGTTTTTTTAGTTTACCATACTTTTTTATCAATTCGAAACTTTTCCGGTCACCATTCGTAAAACCAATGCGGTCGTTTTGTTGGATCGAGTTTACTATCAGGGGTGATCCCATTATGTGGCTTCACCATATCTTATACCCGGAAGAAACTTGGGTTTATTGTGCAAATTGTTACTTGTACATTGCACTGTCCACTGTTAGTTCATGACACTACCAACTCTGCAGACTTTTTCTTATCGGCATTCCACACTGAATCGCCTGTTTGCCACTTCGGGATTGTGTAACCCTAATGTGTATGATATTTGTGCGTACCGTGTGCATCGGTGATCGAAAAACCCGGCGCGGTCCCGTGAAGATCAAGTCATACATACTTCTCACCCAAGCACGTGGATCATGTCCTCTAGTCGTGGATTTCATTGTCTTTCGATAGATCACAGAGTAGCACTCCGAGCAAATCTGCTAAATAGTCACGGATCTCCGGGCACATTATTCCCTCTCAGAATGATCTGAACTGCATGTAACTCAGCCCACTGCCGGTTTAGGAATGTTGATTACGGGACCTGACTTAAAGCAAGCTGTGGTGTGTCGCAGCACTTGTTCAGTCGAGGTTGGTGTGCTTAGGTTGATCACCTGATTTCTAAGATACATAGCCTTAAAATGCGCTGCAAACGAAAGATTTCTGAAATCTTTCTTCGGGTCGAGAATGCTTTTCTAACTGTCAAATTTTGTATTTGATTTTTTCCCGTCGCGTTTGTTGTACTGGCTACAAAAATCCACAATTTTCATCTTTAACATGTGCTGTTTGTAGCGTGGGTACTGGTGGCTAGGTAGAAGTGTGTTGAGACTTTTCTCTCAAACGGCTCTGCGCGATCCCGTTTGCTTGGTTTCCTGCAACCCATTATTTCACTGGTAAAAACCACATCTATTTAACACAGGGGTAAAGTTTATCTCGCGCTCTCTCACTCTGTCGT